AGCAAGGAAAGTAGGGTAGAGTTCAGGTTCGGGGCAGATAGGAGTAGAGGATTCGGGGTGTGTTGCCTGAGGGCTTCAATTGACAAATGAAGATTGAATACTCAGAATGCCTATATATACATACATACACATGCACACATATTTGTTTCTTTTATCACATTATTCTTAGTAGTATACATAATATATATATATATACACACACACATGTAACTGTGCACATGTACGTGTCTACACACGAAGCCAACACGGCCTCGACATCCATATTATCAAGCGAGGCCGAAGATCAGGAAACATTTGCCATCGTAGGAGACCTGAGGGGATATAGGGTTAAATAGGAGTCGGCGTTTTTAGGGGTAGGGGTACAGGTAGGGGAAGGGTTGTGGTCGGGCAGGTGCTAGTCATATATTGATGCGGGCCTCCTCCACCACTCTAAATCTAAACCCAAGCCCGAATATAAGCCTATAAACCCTAACACCCCCTTTGTCAACTCAGTCTCTGCCGATCAGCTGGGAAAGAATATAGCCTTAAGACCCAAAAGCAGAAACTCAATTCCCCAAAACTTATATATAGAAGCGGATAACCCATCTTAGGCATGGAGCCAAGATTCGAGGTCATGGCACTGCGAGGACCCGTGCCAAGCTTGCAGCACATCACGAAAGCTTGTACATGCCTGTTTTGAAATCTGCGTGCCCTTTGGATCTCAAAAGCTGGGCTGTGCGATTCTGTATTACTGCTGTAGACAGGTAGACTGGAGCCCGTAGCATGACTCCAAAGTTTCGACCCAAACCCAAATAAACCTATAATCCCTAACACCCTGTAAACCTTAGAGCCTTTCCCAGGACAAGAACACAGTCACAGCCTTGATCCTAAACCACAAACTCAGTTCCAAAGCTTATATCTACAAGTGGATAAACCATCTCAGGCATGGAGCCAAGATTGAGGGTCAAGGCATTGCGAGAACCCGTGCCGAGCTTGAAGCACATCACGAAAGCTTATACATGCCTGTTTTGAAAGCACTGCGAACCCCGTTGCGTGCCCTCTCAAAAGCTGGGCTGCACGATTCTTCATTACTGTGGCTGTTGTAGGAAAGTAGGAAGTCTGGAGCCCGTAGCATGACCCATAGATCCGAACAGCCCAGGGCTTCTACCAAAACCGGTGGAAGCTATTGGCAAAGCTCACAGTCGCCGGCGCTTAAGCTCGTTCTCATCATATCCCAAGATGGCCAGGACATTCGCTCGCTCGATCGACTCCATCCACCTCGTGGCGATGCATTATGAAGGAGGACTCGGGTTTCCAGCTATGCCCTATAGTCGAGGGGGTCCAACTGCAAGGGAGCACGGATTGCAACTGCGGATATCTAGGTCATGCCATGTGTGCCTGCATCTCTCTCATTTTAACCCTTCTTTATCTCTGTGGGCCAGCCTCAGCTGCTTGCCCTTTGCGGAGACCATGCCAGGACCGTGAGTCTCGTCGATCCTCAGGAGAATCGGTTTAGGGCTTAGGGTTTTGAGTTTAGGTTTAGGGTTTACAACAGTGCAGCAAAGCAACACCTTGAAGAACTCCTTCCGTTTGATGTTGTAGGGTGTATCCTTTCGGGTCCTCTTTGGCTTTTCCACGGCATTCGACTTCGCCTTTGCTTTTGCCTTTGGTGCTGCTTTTGCTTTACCCTTCGCCTTGGCCGATGCTTTTCGCTGCTCCACTAAGTTTCGTTGTGACTGCTGGGTGCTGGTGAGTACTGGGGCGATGTATGGCCAATATTCGAGAAGTGAATCGTCCACATCGAAGGGTGCCTTATTTAGGAGATGCTACAATCTGAAGGAGCACTCTGGTCTGGACATGCATGTGCAACCACTCCTTTGCCGTTTGGCTGCAGGACCCTCCACGGACCTTTCTTTGGAGAACCTGGCCTGCGTGCTGGTGAGAGGGCCCGGTGACTTACGAGTGCCCACAACTTGACTGAATGCTAGTCATCGAAATACCCTAGGGCAAAAATAACTCGACTCCACATCTAATCAAAACCCTGGGACCCTAAACCCCCAAACCCTAACCCGAAAGACTCTATACTTGGCAGCTGACCTTGATCGCACACTGTTTCGAGCGACTACAATACCTATATAGTTTAAGAAAACCCCAACAAGAAAACCCCGAAGGCTCCATCAAGCTCTCCGAAAACACACAAGATCCTCGATCTGCAATATAAGCACTGTAGAATTTGATCTATGCCAGCCTCGGCTTTGGTCCCCTTCTGAAGACTTGTCCTTGGTACCTGCGAATTGAGACAGCTGGGTATGCTTATAAGATCTGCTAAGAGTAACATTCGATACACGTAGTAGATTAGCTGTGGGTCTCGGATTTGCAGCTTTCGAGTGTCATGCAGTGATCGGAGATCCTGCCTCCTCTTTTGGTGGGTCGGCCGCACGCGGCTCCTGTCCGTTGTGACGGGTACAAATCGGTACAAACACATATTAGGTTGGCTTCGGGTCCCGGGAAAGAATGGTACTCGCTTAAGAATTGACTTCAGAGATCGGAGACCGTGCCTCCTCTTCTGGCGGGTCGGTCGCCTGCGGCTCCTGTCGGGTATGGCGGGGCCAAGTACATGTTAGGTTAGTTTCGGGTCTCGGGTTGGAATGGTAATCAGGTAAGAACAGGGGGCCAAATATGGTTACAGCTTCGGGTGATAAGAAATCGTAGCATTCAAAGTTCTTCGTGGAAGCTGGAGTTAGCTAGAGCCAATTAAATTATTTGAGGTCCAACCAAGCCCGAAACCCTTGAACCCCCAGACTCCTAGAACCAAACCCTAGAAAAAAAAAGCCTAAACCCCCAAACCACTAAAACCTAAAACCCAAGCCCCCAAATTCCTAAACCCTGAACCCAAATCTAAAACACCAAGGCCGAAAACAACTAAACCCCGAAACCTCTAAAGCCCTAAACCCTAAAGCCCAAACCCGCCTAAATCCCCCAACCCTAAAACCCTAAAACCCAAACTACTCCAAAACTCCAAACCCGAAAACTCCTAAACCCAGACCAGGCAGGTTTAGGTGCTAGCAAACAGTCTTCTCGGAGTCAAGCCTTGTTGGCACCGGTGCCAGCATCCTTTAGGTCCCAGACCTGAGCCGGGTCAGGTTCAGGTATCCTGACAACTACAACCGTGGATCCTGCTGCACCGAAAAAGCTGCACACCAGAAACCTCAGAAGCCACCATGCAGTCCAAAGGACCGAGGCGATGTCACTCCACATTCGGTCCGTCCATCTGTTTTCCGGCTTCACCTGCGTGCGGGAGCATCATATACTCTTTGTCCTAGAAATAGATATCTATATGCCTAAGTTATATAGCACATTAAATATACACATCAGTATATTGTGTATATATATATGTGGCAGGAACCTTTACGTATAATGTGTTGCTTTTCTTTTTGTTATTATTAAAAGTCCATACGTCACAGCCGATTATCATTATTATTATGACAACAACTACTACTACTGCTACTACTGCTACTACTAAGGTTGCGGCTCGTTTAATGGACGGGAACTGGGGGTATCACACAACAAGATCTAGATGATGCAGTAAATCCGATCATTGCTTATAATACCGGTCAAGATTTAGTAATAACTGATATTAACAATAATCTCGCAAACAACTTTCAAACAACGTCACAATTGAATTCAAATGTCTGTAATAAAACACAGGTAGACGATGTTATCGCGGTTGTAGATGGTAAAGCACTTACTAATTTTAATGCTATTAATGGTATAAACACAAATTTAACTGATAATTATCAAACCAATACACAACTAGCCACGAATTACTACAATAAAACTGAAATTGAAATAGACGCCAATGGCTGGATTGATAACACAGCATTAGCACCTTATGCTACGACGGCGACATTAACGGCAAACTATCAAACGAATTCACAACTAGCAAGCATTTATTACAATAAAGGCGAGGTAGATACATTAATAGCAGGAGCAGGTGGTGGTGTCAGCAATCCAATAGAACTAGTAGATGCTAACACAAGCATTGAACGATACACGAACGCTACAAAATCAAATATTTCGTTAGACTTGTCAATAAATGAACCGACAAGCTGTATAAGATTAGTTTATGGAACTAATGACGTTACTGATACCAATACTTATCTTGAGTGCAATGATTAATAATACAACGACCGGAACAAACTCTTTTGAACAGGATTTTTTTAGCGAAGCGATGATTATTAATAACTATACTGTTTTTTACCAGTTAGTGCTAATGGTATTTCATTACGGAGAATTTCTAATAACACAAACCCAACACTAAGAATTAGAGACGGAACGGCGCAGTGGATATGTGTCAATAATAACTTAAGATGCACTAATGCGAATGAAGAGGACGGTAATATCATGATCTTAAATGATGATAGTGCTTCTAATAATTCTAACAGGATGAGATTAGGAAGCTTAACAAGTGCAGAAGTAGGAACAGGAAAAGCAAACGAAAGCGGTTATTTTTTAATCAGTGGGCGGAGCTACCAAAGTAGATAATTACTTTAGAAGTTGATAATAATATTACAATGGGCAAAGATACAATAACTTCAACAAATGGTAATGGCATTGAAGTATTTAAGGCTACGACAAACGCCAGTAGTTTTTTCAAGTCAAGAACGCGCCTGGCTACATAATGATGCATTCATTAACAAATTAATGCTTATAATACTTCTAACGATAGCCCAAGCTTACTATTATTAAATACAGCTATTGATGGTGGAGTCTATCTACATAATTTAGGTATTGGTGTTCTTGCTGGTGCCAACAGACTATCAGTCGGTGGTGGCAATTCTAATTTTGGTGGAAATGTAAGTTTTCAAGCATCAAAAACCTTTAATAACGAGATTTTAGTTAATAGCAGAGGAAGAATATACCAACAAGGAAACGCCAATTTCTCATTAAACTTTATATCAACAAATGAACAACATTTTTCAATACAAAGTATATAATAGGAACGCCGACTCACAATCGTCAGAAATGTTTTTTACATTTGAATGATGTTGCAGGTATTACATTAAGCAAACCTACCCCTTGTAATGAAAAGCTTGATGTAATAGGTAATTTATCAACAGAGAATGAATTTCGTGTAGATCTTGGTGCTACTGGTTCTCCCGAGTTTCGTGTCTTAGGTAGTTCATTTGATTTCTACGAAAAGTTTAGTATTACACATCAAACAGCAGTAGGAGCAGTGGAACAAATATTTCCCCAAACAGGTACGGTTTGGGGTTCTCCCCTCAGAAAAAAGGTGGGCCGTGGTGGGTTGGATGGCTGGGCCGCGGCAAACTGGCTGGGCTCCCATTGGGCTCCCTTCAGGTTTCCTTTCTGGGCTCCTGGGTTGGACGGGTGGGACGCGGCGAAGGACCTGGGCTCCCCTTCACTTCCCTTCATGTTTCCTTTCTGGGCTCCTGGATTGGACGGGTGGGCCGCGGTGACGGACCTGGGCTCCCATTCACTTCCCTTCATGTTTCCTTTCTGGGCTCTGGGTTGGACGGGTGGGCCGCGGCAAAGGACCTGGCCTGTATTGGGCTCCCTTCATGTTTCCTTTCTGGGGTTCTGGGTTGGACGGGTGGGCCGCGGCAAGGGGATTGGGCTGCCAATTGGGTTTCCTTCCTGTCTCCTTTCTGGGCTAATGGGTTGGACGGGCGGGCCGCAGCAGAGGGCCTGAGCTCCCGCTGGGTTTCCTTAATGTTTCCTTTCTGGGCGCCTGGTCTGCCACAAACGTCTACAGCAGAGGCCAGGTATCCGGTATCCTGTCTTGCAATGCAGCAATGCTGTAACAGTTGTGTGTTTTTCCGTGCGTGGTTTCTGCTGCAGCAAGATCCTGTGGACGACGTTCTTCGTTCGGTTTGCGGAAAAATTGTCAGTGGTTCCGTGTAAGGAAAATATTTGTTTGCGATGTAAGCCGACTCCTTCGCTTTTCTTTTTGCCCTGTTTGTGCGGCAAAGTTGCCCGTCTTTCCCGTGCGACAGCCGACCGATCCGTATACTAATCTCTTGTGTGCTTCTTCCACGAACGTCTACAGCAGAGGCAAGGTATCCTGTCTTGCAGAACGGCAAGGTTGTGACACTTGCGGGAAACTTGCTGCAAGATCCTGTGGACGACGCTCTTCGTTCGGTCTGCGGAAAAATCGTCAATGGTTCCGTGCAAAAGAAGATTTTCGTTCGCCTTAGAAGCCGACAAACCTCTTCGCACTTCTTTTTGCCAAGTTTGCACGGCAAAGTTCCGTCCGACAGGCGAGCGAAAGGTATACCAACCTGCTTCGTGCTTCTTCCGCAATCATCTACAGCAAAAGTCAGGTATTCTGTTTTGCAAAGCAGCAATGTTGTAACAGTTAGTTGGTCGAATACGACGTTCCCTGTCCATAGGTAACATGTCTGACTGTGTAGCTTAATGTGCCAATGACATGACCTTTGGCTCAAGTAATGAGAAAAGAGGTACGCTTGCAGCTTGTGTTCCTCTTCGGGCTGGGCTTCCCCTTTGGGTTTCCTTGCCTTGCCCGGCGATCCTACCCCAATATCGTTGTGCTGCTGTTGAGGGTCGGATTAACTCAGTTGCGGGAAAGTTGTGTGTGTGTGTGTGTGTGTGTGTGTGTGTTCTCCGTGCGTGGTTTCTGCGGAAGTAAGATCCTGTGGACGAATTCTTCGTTCGGTCTGTGGAAAAATTCGTCAGTGGTTCCGTGTAAAGAATTTATTTTGCCTGGTAAGCCGACACACCCCTGTGCGGTCTTCGTTTCGCCAAGTTTGTGCGGCAAAGTTCCCACTTTTCCCCGTGCGACAGCCAACCGATCCGTAAACCAACCTCGTTTGTGCTTCTTCCACAAACGCCTACAGCAGAGGCCAGGTATCCGGTATCCTGTCTTGCAAGGCAGCAATGTTGCAACAGTTGCGGGAAGGTTGTGTGTTCTTCCGTGCGTGGTTTCTGCGGCAGCAAGATCCTGTGGACGACGTTCTTCGTTTTGTCTGCGGAAAAAATCGTCAATGGTTCCGTGTAAAGGGGAACTTGTGTGTTTCTCTGTGCGTGGTTTCTGCGGCAGCAAGATCCTGTGGATTCGTTCTGTCTGCGGAAAAATCGTCAATGGTTCCGTGTAAAGGGGAACTTGTGTGTTTCTCTGTGCGTGGTTTCTGCGGCAGCAAGATCCTGTGGACGACGTTCTTCGTTTTGTCGGCGGAAACATCGTCAACGGTTTCGTGCAAAGAAAGGTTTTTGTTTGCGATGTAAGCCGACAAACCCCTTTGCGTTTCTTTTTGCCAAGTTCGCGCGGCAAAGTTCCTACCTTTTCCTGTGTGGCAGCCAACCGATCTGTATACCAACTTGTTCTGCGCTTCTTCCACAGACGTCTACAGCAGAGGCCACATATCCTGTCTCGCAAAACGGCAATGTTGCATGTTTTTTCCGTGCGTGGTTGCTGCGGCAGCAAGATCCTGTGGATCTTCGTTCGGTCTGCGGACAAAATCGTGAATGGTTCCGTGTAAAGAAAGATTTTTGTTTGCCTTGTACGCCGACAAACCCATTTGCTCTTCTTTTCGCCATAATTGCGCGGCAAAGTTCACACCTTTTTTCCCGTGCGACAGCCAACCGATCCGTATACCGTATACCAACCTGTTTCTCTTCTTCCACAGACGTCTACAGCAGAGGCCACATATCCTGTCTTGCAAAACGGCAATGTTGTGTGTGTTTTTGTCCGTGCGTGGTTTCTGCGGTAGCTAGATTTTATGGATCTTCGTTCGGTCTGCGGAAAAAGTCGTGAATGGTTCCTTGTAAAGAAAGATTTTTGTTTTGTGTTGTAAGCCGAAGCACCCCTGTGCGCACTTCTTTTCGCCAAAATTGCGCGGCAAAGTTCACACTTTTTTCCCGTGCGACAGCCAACCGATCCATATAGCAACCTCTGTTGTGCTTCTTCCTCCAATGTCTACAGCGGAGGCAAGGAATCCTGCTTTGCAAAACGGTAATGTTATGAAAATTGTGGAGAAGTTGCGTTTTTTCCCTGTGCGGTTCCTGCGGCAACAAAATCCTGCGGACAATGCTCTTCGTTCGGTCAGCAGAGAAAACGTGAATGGTTCCGTGTTAAGAGCGCTTTTGGTTTGCCTTGTAAGCCGACAAATCCCTTCCCACCTTTCTTGCCAAACATGCACGGCAAAGTTCTCTTTTTCTTCCCGTCCGACAGCCAACCGAAGCGAACACCAAGCTCTTTTGCACTTCGTCCGCGAACGTTTGCAGCAGAGGCCAGGTATCCTGTTTTGCAAAGGCGGCAACAATGTGGCAGTTGCGGGAGACATGTACATGGTGTTGCAGCAAGATCCTCTGAACGATGCTCCCTGGACCCTCCCAAAAACCTTCCCACATGCTTGAGTCCCACCACCCACTCTTCTTTCGCAGAAATATATCGCCCAATGCCTAATTCTTCTTCGCAAAATCTGCTGGCGAAGCCAGATTGGGTCCAACACATTCCAACTTGAACCGGTATGATTCGATGCATTCTGTTTGGGGTCTTCGCTGGTGTAATTTTGATAAATCCAGATACAGACGGTGAGACAATAACCGAAATAGGAACGAAGAATGTTTTGACGGTTACGACAGACGGCATTGATATTATAGGAGACAATTCTTATGCAGGATCTATTTGGCCAAACAATAATCAACGACAGAAGAAAGACATAAAAGAAATCAGTTCAAAGTAAGCAGTAGAGTTAGTAAAATACATTGTTCCTAAAACATATAAGTTTATTGATGCAGAAATAAGCGCTGACCAATCGTACTGTGGGTTTATTGCCAACGATATGATGGATTATGAAGGCTTCCCCAAAGAACGGAGTAATATCGTTAGAAAGGGAAGAGACGGATATTTAAGGTTTGACTATTCTATGACTACCCCAGTTTTATGCAGTGCTTTACGATATGCTCTGAATGATTTCGAAGAAATTAAGGATTCGTTCAAAGCAATGAAAAAGGAAATGGCCACCCTGAAAGGGGGAATAACAAAGTTGAAAAAGAATTTAAAAGGTAGTAGCGATAGCGATTAAAATTAATATATGTTGTTATATATGTGTGAGTTCGAAGATCAGTATAAAGTTTGTATGGAATTAATAAAAAAACAGGGAAATATCGGAAACGGATATATTATTAACTGCTATGAAAGACCTATTACAAAAATTGGAAGAAGAGGAAAAGAAAGTAGAAGCACTAAAGAAGACAAGGAAATGCCCATGTTTCAGTTTTTCTACTTTACACCGTTGTCCACTATCATTGTTTGAATAAGTAATTGTATTATTAACATATTATCAACTATCTCCTATTTCAAAGCGTTGTTGAAACTTAATGAAGAACATGTTACTAATATCTTTAGTATCGGTGTTTATGAGCAAAATTTACGGCTTTCTGATACATTTCATATAGCGTGCTTGTGTCCACCAATGCGGAATTCTCTTCTAAAAATGCATTGACTTCGTTCATGTTCTTCAGTCTAAAAATAAACAAAGCAGATGCGTTTAGCCTAATGATCGGGGCCAACACATTATACTTCTGCGTGGGGAAAATGCATGAGATGCCGTTATGGCGACCCCTCGTGAATAACCCGGGTAATAAACTTGAGTATCTTACAAATTTTGGGTCGTCCGCATGGTCATCCACCACTATTAAATTACTGAATAAATCCTTCTGTTTGTTCTTCTTTTGGAAATCAATTACTTTATGTCGGGTTTCAATAATCTTCTTTAATGCAACTGGGTCGTATTCTTCATGATAGAGTTTTTCTTTTTCTGCGTCCACCTTCATCACGTCAGTTATGTATTTCTTAACAGGTGTCCATGTGTCATCCACATGAACACTGGGTGAAAATATGTATATCCTCTCGAAAGATCCTCTGTAGATTTTAATATGAGATTTTGGATCAATGCTGTTTTACCACTTGTTGAAGAAGCAACACATAGCATCCGCGCTGGTAATTTGGGCATCATATCAAATTTACTGTTCTTATACTTATCTTCGGGTATGTCTATTGGTTCTACTTTAGGGATATCATCACTCATCATATTTAATAAGAAATATCGTTATAGTTATACAAACGGATGAAAATTATGATGTTTATGTTGAAACAATAAACGGTTTGGAGGCACTAGAGGAGCAGGTAATAAAAGATACTAAAATGAAACGATGTTGCTATTTATCATCGGGGTTTGTTAAAACAGTTATTATTTGTTTGAGGAATCATAAAAATCTAAATAGTATAAATGAGCGATATAACTGAAAGCGAAAAGAAAAAGGGCTTTTGCATAAATTCTAAAGGCGTATCTTGTATACCTTGTAATTGTAAAAGACAATCATAGCATAAGGAAACTAAAACAACAAAAGAAAATAACATTATAACAACAAAAATTGTAGAAGATAGACGAAATTTAAAATTTGGTGGGAGGAAGGTTAGTCCTGATGAAAACGGGATTTTTGAAACTGGCAATCAAGTAGGAAGTGTTGAAATATGTGATACTGATTTTGCAAACCATGGTACAACACCTGAGCAATGTGAGCAGACAATAGAAGCGACTGAAACTCATATTGAAGCCATTAAGAAGGACATAGAAAGGTTGGAAGTTGAACTGAATGATTTGAAACTGAAAATTAGCAAGAAATTTCTATAATATAAATATGGAGTGTGTATTTCCTAAGAAAGAAAAAGAGGATGTTAGAAAGGATTGGTTAGAGGAACGAAGGAACATAAGAAATATAATGCTAGATTAAGTGCTATTATAGATGAGTTGGAGGATTATTACCGTTATGAGGAGTATAAGGCAAGATTTAAATTGTTGTTCGAGTTTTATCAGTTAGAAGAACTATTAAAACAGTTTAAAAATGAATTTGTATAGTGGTTTGACAGGTAGTGCCCCAGACACCGTACAGTTTGCATTTACAATAAGCATGTCATAAGAACAAAGGTAATGACTTAATTAGTTTGTCTCGTGCTTTCGGAAGAAGGAGAAGAGAACCCCCATGCAGTCCCCGATAAATGTTCTAATATTAATTAAAATATCAGAAGATGTACTTTTGGTCTAACCATGTCTAAAGACTAGACTTTGTTGTATGTCAAGATGGAAGGGAGATTATGTAAATCGTGCTGTGCATCAAAGGTTGTTGAAGAGTTCGACGGGTTTAAGACGTGTAATATGTGCCGTAAAGCGAAAAGAAAACGCTATGAGAAGAACAAGAATGAATACAATCAAATAAGGAGAGAGGAGAGAGCAAAGGGAAGCCGATTATGTGAAGAATGCGGGCACAGAATAAGACACGAGAACTGGGATGCCCATTTTCATTATGCATTACACCCGAACTCAGAACTACATATATTGATGAAAGGGTATTTTAGAAGGCTGGGAGACTTGAAAACAGAAGGTAGACAAAGCGATGGAATACAAGAGCAAATTAAGGCGGAATACAGCAAACAAAAATTGGAAATACGCAAACGATTAAACAAACAGTTTCCTAACAAATTTGTTGATGAAGAGGAAAAGTAGAACCAAAACCCGATCCTGAACAACATAAGCCAGATATAGATGCAGTATTCAATCACGCTCATCAGTTGCTAATGAACGATGAGTTTCTCGAAGATTACATTCTGCTGTCTGGCAAACATAAAGACCGAATAATCATTGAACTTCATGTTGACGTTGCCCAAACGAAAGCAATGACGGCAAACACCTAAAAGGCATCATATGCTCCACTATATAGGATGGTGCTAAATATAATGAAGTTATAATTCTCCGGCTATCACAGATTATAACTTCATTAGGGATCTTACTTACAAATCATGAGAAGATGGCCATTTCCATTAAGATTTATCATAGGGCATCGGGGATGTATGATGGGGAATATGGATTTACAAGGGGATGGGTAGAGATAGGGGGATGTTCTTATGACTCTTTGGATATTCATAGGGGGGTACACGAATTGTTAAAATTTGGGTGATAATGCGGGGGCTTGACGATACTATAACCTACATGGAAATGGCCATCGCTAACTGCAACACCGGGCGTCGCGGAAACACCGGGCGTCGCGGAACCACCCACCGGTCACCCACCCTGTAACACCGGGCGTCGCGGAAACAACCACCCTGTAACACCGGGCGTCGCGGAAACATCCACCCTGTAACACCGGGCGTCGCGGAAACATCCACCCTGTAACACCGGGCGTCGCGAAACCAAACAGCCTGTAACACCGGGCGTCGCGCAACAATTTACCTGGTTTAGATACTTTGGACAAGTTGGTGGAGTACCGGAAGGCCGGACGGAGGATTCGGTTTAGACAGTTTAGATAGTTTGGGCTCCCCGCCCAGCCCCCCAAACCATCTAAACTATCTAAACCGGCCTGCCCGGACTAGCCCAAACCAGCTAAACCATCTAAACCCACCTGGTTTAGATGGTTTAGACCGTTTAGCTGGTTTGGGCTCCCTGCTCGGCCCCCCAAACCAGCTAAACCATCTAAACCCACCTGGTTTAAACGGTTTAGCTGGTTTAGCTGGTTTGGGCTCCCCGCCCGGCCCCCCAAACCATCTAAACTATCTAAACCGGCCTGCCAGCTAAACCATCTAAACTCACCTAGTTTAGACGGTTTAGCTGGTTTAGACGGTTTAGCTGGTTTAGCTGGTTTGGGCTCCCCGCCCGGCCCCCCAAACCATCTAAACTATCTAAACCGGCCTGCACGGACTAGCCCAAACCAGCTAAACCAGTTAAACCGGCTAAACCAGCTAAACCATCTTAACCCACCTGGTTTAGAGGGCTTAGACGGTTTAGCTGGTTTAGCTGGTCTGGGCTCCCCGCCCGACCCCCCAAACCAGCTAAACCAGCCAAACCTTCTAAACCCTAAATCTAAAATCACTACCCTTCCCCTGAGCAGCGTGCCTTGCTCTTTTCGCAAAGCACATCGACGCTTGTGCCTTCGGACGGCGACCACGGTACCTGGCGTGCGGATCTTCAGATTCACACGCCTTCAAAATCTCTATCCTCTCTGAAGGGAAGTTTTAAAGGCTCTTTCAGAGCCTTCCAGAAATTCTCTGCCCGGAGGGGCTTCGTCATGATATCCGCAAGTTGAAGCTGGGTGGGAACCCATGACAGCTTTCCTCCGAGCTTCAAATCACATCGTATGGCTGCCAGATCTATGGCGAGCCGGCGATCAGAAGGAACTCTGGGTAAACCTACCCTCTTGAGATGGTCGTAGAGACTACGGCAGTCACTCATGAATCGGGTCTTGATGGGGCTGTTCTTGGGGCGCACAAGGACTCCGGCCAGCAGCGTAGCCATAAAGCTCTGGATGTACTGCGCATTCTCGATTCCACTAGCGCAGGCCATAGTCTCTGCCGCGAAAGTAGAGCGACACACCCGATCACAGGCCCAGCTCCGCCAGTCGAGAAGGCTGGTGTTGCAGCTGTCTCCATCCAAGATCTTAGAGTCGGCGAGGAGGTAGATGCCACCGAGCTGCGAAGCTATCCTCGAATTTCCCCGCTTGGGCTTCCGGTCCTTTGAGGCGAAGGGCCCCTCTCTCATCGTTCCGCAGATGTCCTCCTCGGGCGTCAGCTGGTAGTACGGGTCGTCAGGGTCCTGAGGTGCATTTGCCCAGGCGGCATCGTGGTAGGTCAGCAGCACGCAGTTCTCGAGGTCCACTGGTGTCAGGTGGACTCCACATGTCCGGTACTGCTTCGCCTTCCTCGAGAGGGAATTGGTGAAGCGGACGTCCCCGATGGTCGGCTCCCGCTGAAGCTGTTGAGCCATTGAGACTCCGGTCTGTAGGTCCGGCCGGGTCTGTCCAGCAATCCACGACAGAGCCCCGATCAGGCTTCTGTTGTCTGCCCTCTGTTCCGCACTTGCGGGGCATTCGTCACTCGCCGCAGGCTCTATCTCCACCTCGAACAGTCGTGTGTCTGCGTAGCTCTCCTGGGTGATCGTCACTCCGTTCTCGTCGATCATAAAGGTGGAGCCCGTGTACTCGAAGCTGTCGTCTTCCCAGTCATCAACTGGAAAGGCTTTGGAGAGTGCGTCCTTGAGCTGACGATTCAGCTCCCGATCTCCAACCATCAAGAGGTCGTCGACGTGAACGGCCACATACGCCTCAGGGGCACCAGAGTTCCCATCGGGATCCATCACCTTGAACTGGAAGATGCACGGATCGAGGGGGCACTGGTCAAAGTATCCGCGTCGGCCATCAGAGAGCAAAATGTCGAGCGCGAGGATCGTGCCCTGCAGCTTCTCGTACCAGGCATTCGGGGAGTCGACCAGCCCGAATACTCCCTTGGTAAGTTGCACGATCTGATCAGGGTGAAGGTCACCTAGTCCTCCACGGGGCTGGCGAATGTACAGCTCTCGCTTGAGCTCGTTGCCGTTCAGAAAGGCGCAGGTAATATCACCGGCGCTGGCACTCCATCCTCTTTGCCTTCGCGAAGCAAGGATCTGACAAAGCAGTAGCACTCCTTGGCGGGAAACTGTCGGAGCGCTTGTAGTCAATCCAGAAGTGATATCCGGATCGACATGTCCTCCGATGACCAGTCTCGCCTTGCATTTCCAGTCCAGGTCCGGGTTGGTCTTTCTTTTGGCCCAGTGTTTATCGCGGTATGCAAACCGGCTCGGCAGCACCCTCTCTGGTTTCTCGGCCAAGATCTTCTTGCTGGTCTCCACGTCGACTGGCTTCATTGCACCATGTTCCAAATGCTCGCTCCACTGCTTGTCCTCCGCGCGGCGAAAGTCGGCGTGTTTCTCGGGAGGTATGCAGTGCCACGGCAACTCTCGTTCGAGCTGTTTCTCGCGGCCTCGTGCCGTGGTAGCCCGCTTGAGCATGTTCACGTGCTCGGGCCCCTTCTGTCTCATCCTCTTTGGTGGTCCCCTTGACGGGAGTTGGGGAGGATCTTCGCGTACACTCCTCATGGTAGTGTCCTCGTCCTCGCCCGGGGGCTCGACCTCGTCCTCGCCCGGGAGCTCGATCTCGTCGTCAAACACAGAAGTCTCATCGAGGATGTCCAACATTTCGTCCGGGACGTAGTCATCTCCAGGACGCTCAGGACTCTCATACATCTCCTCATCGTCGGGGTCGAACTCGGCGAGGCGTTGGAGGTCGTCCTTGGTGGTCTTCAGAATGAAGGCGTTCCCAGTCTCCTCATTTGTTGCCCGTCTGGTGTGTTCGGGCGCTACCAGGTGGCACCTCCCTCCGAAGGAGATCCAGAGGTTCTGGTGCTCGTGCCCCACAACAGTGCCTGGCCCCTTCCAAGACCAGTCCTTCGTGTTCTTGGGCTTCCGCAGAAAGAAGACAAGGTCGCCAGGGTGTAGTTCCTCTCCAGCAACACGAGATCGCTGAAGGAGGGCTCGGCGAAGTTTAGCGTCACCTTGGGCCCGGAAGTAGGCCCCCTTGGCTGCCAGACGAATCGCTTGCTCCCGTGCCCGCTGAAGGTCGTGGTTGATCAAGTGTTCCTGTTGTTCCCCGTCCTTCTCGTCAAGCAGGTCGCCGGGGATGTAGGGGTCCCGGCCAAAGACGGCCTGTGCCGGTGAATATCCGCTGATCCGGCGAAGCTGGTTCTTGGCATCGTTGACCGCGGCGATCCCCATGGGAACATCTTCTTCTCTCAAGCTAAGATCATCACAGACCCTCTTCCAGATGGCCTTCCAAAGACCCCCATGTCGTTCGGTGGCACCGAGTTGCCAGTGAGCTTGCCCAGCGATCGATCGTAGGTGACATCCATGCCAGGAGCTGTAGCGTGCGAGTCCAGCCTGAAGGCCGGACTCCAGGTCGAGGGCAATGGTGCCCGGGGCCCCGAAAGTCCTTGTCCAGACTTCGCAGAACGTCTGTTCCATCGCTTCGGTGCTATGTCCTCTGAGTTCCCCGACCACGTGGAAAGAGGTTCCATGGTCGAAGACTGAAAGCATCTCGACCCGCCGCCCCGTAGAATCCACCACCGAGAAAACATCGACTCCCACGACCTGATTGAAGGAAAGTAGGCTCGGCAGTGTAGCGGGTCGTGCGCTCACGGCTGTGGTACATCTCTTACAGGTCTCGCAGCTCAGACGCTTTGAGGCTTGTATGACCTCGGGCCCCGCGCCGGCCAAGCGAAGATGTCGAGTAAGATCATGTTGTGACGGGTGGCCGAGATTGGCATGAAGACGACGTAGAGCAGAGGCCACTTCTGGTTTGACTCGGGGTTCTCCAGGGAACGAGATAGCAGAAGCCCCTCGGGGTTCCTTTTCCGCGGGTGGCGGACTCTCGCCACTCGTCTGCGCCATGTAGACATTGATCGTGCCCGGGTAGACAGACTCAGTGGCTTCGTTCCAGTCCGCACGGGTGCTGTTGAACTCGACCGTCTTCAGTCCCGCTTCCTCGTACAAGGTCGCTGTAGGATCTTGTAGAAGACGTACTCCGAACCCAGTCCTCCAGAAGTTGCCGTCGGGGGCCGCGTCCACCACGACTCGGCGACTCGCGTCGAGCTGCTCCTGGATGTAGTCGCTGACAGCGTCTTCACAAAGGTCGACAGCGTCTCCATGGATCCACAACGTGCTCGGGCGTAGAGTCCGAATAAGCTCTAGGCCGCGTGCGCGGCCTCCTTCTCGCAGGATGTAGGCCTGGTCCAGCGGTTCCGTTGCCAGGTAGTCAGCATCCACGGCTTCCTCGGTCCTCGTAGTGCCTCCCACTTCGCATAGAGCAATGCCATCAGGTCCTCCGGAAATGGGTAGATGCGCCTCGAGGAAGGAGCTAGCCGCCATGATGGACCAGGTGGCCAGTGCCCCCAAACGTTTGGAAGTACGGTGGATTAGTTTCCTGGCGCTCCGCTTAGCGGGTCTTCCGGCTGGTGGCCGATCATCAAGTAGCGGAGGTCGCTTGCGAAGATCCGGGAGCACCATCCCCAGGCGGCGTAGTAGTTCCCGTCCGTTGCGATCAAGAGCAGCAATTCCCCGTGAAGCGAAGAAGGTCAAACACCACCTTGTGCCACTCCATGGTTGAGTGGCGTGTCGTATCTTCGGGTCGAAGCTCACGATCCGTCGCTGGGTGGAGGTGAGTCTACCCGGCCGTTCCTTGCCATCACTTCCTTGTCTCCACACGTAGGTCTCGTCGGGGGTCCGCTCGGCCTCCTTGACTTCCATCCACAGCTCACCGCCGTTGAACTCACCGAAGCTGGTGGTGATGTTCGGGTAGCCAGGGAGGTTGTGGTTGTCAGAGTGTACGCCATGGCTAACATTCTCTGTCAACATGAAGCTGGTCCACGAAGCGACTCCATGGTGGCTCGCCCATCCGCTGAGGTACTTGACGAACCAAGGGAACACGACCACATTGTTGGTGATGCCAGCCATCTTTCCGTGAGTCCAGACTCCACCGACAAGCCCTCGTCGTCCGGCGCTGCCTTCTGCACTTTGTCGGAGATTTACCCGAGCATCCTCCGGAAGGAGCGTGGCGATGCGGAAGAGGGTCTGGTAGGTGAAGTCGTTGTTCGCCGCGGCGGCGTAGGAGGCCAGCTCAACCGCAAGGTCGTGGTTGGGCCGTGGAAGCCCCGCAGTGTTCATCTCCTCGGCGGTCTCGTCCGTCACGAAGGCCTCGCACATCACCTCGTTGATCTCGAGCGTGTCGTAGTAGTCCTCCTTCCTTTGCCCATCAACGCACTCAATGCAGTCCCGGTAGTCACCTTCAGTCTCGCTGCTCATTGGTGCTTCGGCGGTAGATGGTGGCGATCCCTCAACAAAGCTAGGCGCATCTCCAGGGCTCTGATTTCCTCGAGGGCCTGGGCATCCGCTTGGTCCGCATCGAGGTCCATGGTCGTCTGGTCTGGTTGCGCCGGGCGTGTCCTCCTTTTGGGCTCCGAGGTCGCCTTCGGTTTCACATCCCGTGGTAGGAGTAGTCCTTGACTCCTCGCTGGTCTTGGGTCCGCGTACCCCCCTTTCATCGGGAGTCCGGTCGCACTCTTCCTCGTAGCACTCGAAGAAGACTCCGTCCCCTCGGTCACCACCTCCCAATTGCTCTCCTCTTCCGGGTTGTAGGGGACCACGGCTGTGGTCTCCGGGTCCGCATAGTAGGACTTGGCCTGCGCATGCGTCATCTTGTTCTCATCCTGCTCGGCCCACATTGCGAACATCCTCAGGTCGTCCGAAGCATTGGTGCTTCCGGTACCCCATCGGGACCTCCTTGTACAGGTAGCCCTTGTAGCGGCCGAAGGTCATGATGTGCTCGCTCTTGTCCTCGGTGGAGTCCCGAATCATGCGCATGATGAGGCCGCGGTTCGTGTTGTCCGGGAGCACGATGTTGAGGTTCGCGGCCGTCTTCTTCAGCTCGTCGAGGGTCATGCTGCTGAGCCCCTTGGGTACGCTGCCCGCCTTCTCCTTGGCCCGTTCCTCGGAAAGGATGCTCCGGAGCTCGGGTACTGTCCACTTGGGGTGAACCGTCATGTTCCTCTGCTGGAGCTCGCTGAGCAGGGCCGCCTTGTTCATCTGAGAAACGCATGGCTGCTTCGTCGCCGCGGGGGACGTGGCCATCTCGAATTGCAAGGGAAGTTCCCGTCACAGGCATCGGGCGCCTAGCGAAAGAAGTCCTTCCGATCCAGAGCACGGGTTGAGCAACATCATGGTCATCAGCACTCCAAACATCAAACACTGGATCCATGTTCTGGCCGGTCTTGCATGACACTCCCTGACACATGCGTACTTTCCCGAGCTGGTGCAGAAGCTCATGTTTCCGGGTTTGATCTGGGGTGTTCCACTTGCCAGGGTTGAAGAGAGTACGCCTCGGGATGACATGTATGCGGTAGAGCGTAGTCGGGGACTCTATCCAAAAGTCGTTGCTTATGTTCGTGGATTTCCACCAAGCCATAAACGACACTCCATTGATGGTTTCACCGGTGAGTAGATTGTGGACCTCGAGTGGGATCTTCTTGGGGTAAAACAACCGGGGCCTGGTAGTGGTCGACGTAGACGAAGACTGACAGGTAGTAGTAGCGGTAGTAGAGGAACCTGTTGGGACTCGAGGCTCATCGATAGGGCTATCGGGTCCCTGCACATTGCAAGAAGCACACACCATATATGCCGCACGATTCAAGTGGATCATGATCTCACCGTCGGACCAAAAATCAGCTGGCGCCTTTCCGGCCGGCTCACGAGCTGGGATCAAAGGGAGCGCAGGGTGACCGCTTTCTGTCATCTTGAGAGTCGCCTGATTTAGCTGGACTGCCTTGAAGTCGGCTCGATTGAGGGCCACGTCCATGATCATCCCCAGCTTCGCCAACACAGGTCGAGACAGAAGAAGTGGAAGGTCGCCTGTGACGATGGCTACCTTGACCTCTACGATAGCCTGGCCAAGTTTGAAGGTCACAATGCAGGCGCGGTCGGAGTGGAAGACTCTGGAGGCTCCGAACTTGAAGTTGTCGTCGTTGGGCAGTAGCCGGGGTCGCTCGCCGATCCTTTCGAGCCTGCCGATGTACTCGTCGAGCCAGCCATTTCCGGCAACAGACTTGGAGCAGGCCGTATCGGTGATGGCGTCGAACTCTCCAGTGCAGATATCCTCCTCAATGTTCCAGGCGACGTAGACGACATTGCACATGTAGGATGCCTTGGTGTTTGGCCCGGCTCCACCGCCGCCACCATGCTCGGCAGCGTCCTTGAGCCCCTTCCCTTGGTTCAAGGGACAAGCATCGTCCTTGTGCCAATGCCCTCGTCGTTTGCACCCCGCACAAAACGATCTAGCTTTCAGTTGTTGAAGCTTAGCAGCAGCGATCTCCTTCATAGCCTGAGGGTCCGTCCCGCGACCGCGCTGGGAGTCGCGGTACTTCTGCTTGGCCGTCTCGTGGGACATATAGGTGGTGAAGAGCTCCTCGGCCAAGCCCTCAGTCAAGGGTTCATCTCCAGGTGCAGTCTCAGTGCCGCAGTCCTCGCCGTGGAAGTCGTCGTCGAGGTCGTGGTTGCCGGTGTAGTGCACGGACTGCCCCTGCCGACGCTGCCACGGCCTGGTAGTTGAGGTAGTGCCTTCCCAAGGTTTCCTGAGCGCCTTGTCGTGGATGGTCGCCGCCTGTTGTAGGCGACGAAGATCATACACGTTCCCAACGCTGGCCAACAAGTTGAGCTCCGAAGGTTCATCCAAGCCTAGCCGGTCTACGAACATCCATGCCAGAGCGATGTCTGGAAGAGTGCAGCCGCACTCCTCCAAACGGGCCTGTGCCCGATCGAACTCGCCGACGTAGTCCCGGATATTCTGTCCTGGCTTCTTCCGCAATTTGCGGAAGAACTCTGAGAGGCTCCTCCCGACCTGGGTCACCTGAACATCCAGGTACCTTTCACGGATCCACTCGACGAAGTACGCGGATCCTGACGGCCCACTGAGCTTGTCGATGTCCAAGCGCTCGGCCTCTATCCAGGCCTTGCCGGATAGGTGTTGGTATAACACCAACCCCTGGCGATTGGCAGATATTCTTGTCATCTTCTGCCAAGCTGCAACCTGTCGCAAGTAGGACCTGGCAGTAGATCCCAGATCACTCCCTTCTCCAGCTCCAACATCGCCAGAGAAGCTGGGAACGAGCATTCGTTCCGAAGGCCCGCGCCCATGATCTTCACCTCGTTCCTCTCCTCTCTCGGAGTCCATCGCCGAACGTGTAGTAGCCGCCGGTGCCGTGGATGTACTTGCGGCCAACATCGCCGATCTCCTGGAGGTCGTGGTAGTAGCCCTCCCGTCGTCGCCGTGCTTCTCTTCCTCGCCGTCCGGGTAGATGTCGCCACCTGAGCCAGTAGACCCCGAAGCCCAGGTAGCATCCCAACTCCAATTACGACCCCACGCGTACCCCCCGCGTGGCTCATTCTGCATCTTCGCGTCGTCCCAGGAGTGCCATCCGTTCCAGGAGTTTCCCTGCCACTGCCAAGAGGAGTGGTCCCAAGCTCTCGACTGGTTGGATGACAAGTAGTCAGCCCACGGATCAGGCGGCGCACCTCCAGCCGACGGAGGATGCATCGCCTTGTCAAAGGGTCTAGGTAACTCAGCAGAGTCAGGAGCAGCCGCGCCCGAAGCTTGTGCTCCAGGAGGAGCTTGCCAAGAAGTACTCTGGTACATGCTGGTGGGCTGGTCGTCTTGATCGTCGCCAGCCATCGCTCTACAAAGTCAGACTAGTTAGCGGAGACTACACTACCTGGAGCACACCTGCTCCGCTACCAATCTAAAATCACTACCCTTCCCCTGAGCAGCGTGCCTTGCTCTTTTCGCAAAGCACATCGACGCTTGTGCCTTCGGACGGCGACCACGGTACCTGGCGTGCGGATCTTCAGATTCACACTAAACCCTCTAAACCCTCTAAGCCAGGAGGGTTTAGAGGGTTTAGAGGGTTTGGGGCGCCGGGCGGGGAGCCCAAACCAGCGAAACACCCTAAACACCCTAAACCCTCTAAACCCTCTAACCGTCTAAACCCTCTAAGCCAGGAGGGTTTAGAGGGTTTGGGGGGCCGGGCCGGGAGCCCAAACCAGCTAAACACCCTAAACACCCTAAACCTTCTAAACCCTCTAAGCCAGGAGGGTTTCGAGGGTTTAGAGGGTTTAGGGTGTTTAGGATGTTTAGGGTGTTTAGGGTGTTTAGCTGGTTTGGAGGGCCGGGCGGGGAGCCCAAACCAGCTAAACACCCTAAACACCTTAAACCCTCCAAACCCCTTTAAGCCAGGAGGGTTTAGAGGGTTTAGAGGGTTTGGGGGCCGGGCGGGGAGCCCAGACCAGCTAAACACCCTAAGCCCTCTAAACCCTCTAAACCCTCCTGGCTTAGAGGGTTTAGAGGGTTTAGCGGGTTTAGCGGGTTTGGAGGGCCGGGCGGGGAGCCCAAACCAGCTAAACAGCCTAAACACCCTAAACACCCTAAACCCTTTAAACCCTCTAAGCCAGGAGGGTTTAGAGGGTTTAGAGGGTTTGGGGGGCCGGGCGGGGAGCCCAAACCAGCTAAACACCCTAAACACCCTAAACCCTCTAAACCCTCTAGGCCAGGAGGGTTTAGAGGGTTTAGAGGGTTTAGGGTGTTTAGGGTGTTTGGGGTGGCTGGTTTGGGGGGCCGAGCGGGGAGCCCAAACCAGCTAAACACCCTAAACCCTCTAAACCCTCTAACCGTCTAAACCCTCTAAGCCAGGAGGGTTTAGAGGGTTTGGGGGGCCGGGCGGGGAGCCCAAACCAGCTAAACACCCTAAACACCCTAAACCCTCTAAACCCTCTAAGCCAGGAGGGTGTAGAGGGTTTAGAGGGTTTGGGGTGTTTAGCTGGTTTGGGGGGCCGAGCGGGGAGCCCAAACCAGCTAAACACCCTAAACCCTCTAAACCAACCGTCTAAACCCTCTAAGCCAGGAGGGTTTAGCGGGTTTAGCGGGTTTGGAGGGCCGGGCGGGGAGCCCAAACCAGCTGAACACCCTAAACACCCTAAACCCTCTAAGCCAGGAGGGTTTAGAGGGTTTAGAGGGTTTAGAGGGTTTAGGGTGTTTAGGGTGTTTAGTTGGTTTGGAGGGCCGGGCGGGGAGCCCAAACCAGCTAAACACCCTAAACACCCTAAACCCTCTAAACCCTCTAAGCCAGGAGGGTGTAGAGGGTTTAGAGGGTTTGGGGTGTTTAGCTGGTTTGGGGGGCCGAGCGGGGAGCCCAAACCAGCTAAACACCCTAAACACCCTAAACCCTCTAAACCCTCTAACCGTCTAAACCCTCTAAGCCAGGAGGGTTTAGAGGGTTTAGAGGGTTTGGGGGGCCGGGCGGGGAGCCCAAACCAGCTAAACACCCTAAACCCTCTAAACCCTCTAAGCCAGGAGGGTTTAGAGGGTTTAGGGTGTTTAGGGTGTTTGGGGTGTTTAGCTGGTTTGGGGGGCCGAGCGGGGAGCCCAAACCAGCTAAACACCCTAAACACCCTAAACCCTCTAAACCCTCTAACCGTCTAAACCCTCTAAGCCAGGAGGGTTTAGAGGGTTTAGAGGGTTTAGGGTGTTTAGGGTGTTTGGGGTGTTTAGCTGGTTTGGGGGGCCGAGCGGGGAGCCCAAACCAGCTAAACACCCTAAACACCCTAAACCCTCAAACACAGTCGCCAGCTGGATGGGCCAATCAAATTTGCAGCAGAGTGTATTCGTCTGGTGGCTGCAAGGCTAGATGCACAGGCTTTTCCTTAGCCGCCTTCTGAAAGATGCTGCGCGGTTCAGGTTCAGCTTGGAGCTGTGTGCATCTCTGCCTTGTCTGTGTTGGAACCCTTCGCCCGTGATGGCGTAGCTTCCTGTGCAGCCTGCCCTCGCTTAAGCAACCTAGCTCCCCAGGCCCTCTCCGTCGTCTTGCCCCTAGATGCTTAGGCTCGCCCGGAGTTCGCTAGCAATGTTCTAGCTCCGCCTGACCGAGTCCCACAAAGTCACAAAGTCACAAAAGTGCTAGAGTGCGACTTAGATCATGATATAACCGCAGTCATGCGTCTCTGGATCTTCGGGGCCAGCATCATCGACATATCCATCGTCATCCTGCATCAGTGCCAAACAACACCAACCAACTCGGATCATATCTAGGGTGGTTCCTCCAATGCGGAAAGCCCAGAGCCGCTTGATAATGTCCTCAGATGCTCAACCCTGGGCCATAAGGTTTATGGGGTTGGGAATCAAAGTAACTCACTTGAAATCAGAAATGGCACGTCTTTGCCCTCAACCTCATCAAGGGATTCCCAGCAGCCTCAGATTTGAACTCAAGCAAGCCTGGCGTGAGCGATTCAGCAATCGAGCCAAGGGTCATTGGTCCGATCGCCAATGGCTTCATAGTTGGCAGCCTCAAACACCCGGACTCCAACCGAAGTTCTGAATGTTCTTAATGCAGCAGGGGAACGACGGCATCACCGTCCCAAAATTTATCATCATTGCCGGCCTCAAAACACCCATCCAGCCAAAGTTTATATGCAATGGTTGAAATGCAGCAGGGGAACGGCACCATCGTGATCATCCCATTTCTCACCATCCTTGCGGGGCGGATTGGGCTGAGACTTAAGTAACTTCAGGCTATACCATTCCGAAGCATAGATACTCACTGAATCTGCACGATGATATATCTATATATATATATATATATATGTAGATAGATAGATATATGTATATATATATGCTTATATACATACCCGATAATTATTTAAATATTTTGCAGCAGGGGGACGGCAGCATCGTGATCATCGCATCTTCATCATCCTTGCGGGACGGATTGGGCTGAGACCTATAAAGTAACTTAAGAGATTCTTCAGGCTATACTATTCCAAAGCATAGGTACTCATTGATTCTGCACGATGATACATCTGTATAACTTTATATCAGTATATGCTTACATATAGATTAATCTGTATTTACTGTTATTTATCCGTCTCTCTCTCTGTCTCTCTCTCTCTCTCTCTCTCTCTCTCTCTCTCTCTCTCTCTCTCTCTCTCTCTCTCTCTCTCTCTCTCTCTCTCTCTCTCTCTCTCTCTCTCCCGAGTCTCTTTTTCTTAATCTGACCCGTCACTCGTCTGTGAATGCCCCGGCGGTCCTGTGCCGCCACCACTTGAGTCTCGTCGTTGTCCATGGCACCCGACCGCCGGGCTTTGTGAAGCAGCTCAACCAAAAGCTTACTTTCTCGGTCGACCCAATCCCGAAACTTGAAGCCGGGTATGTCAGGAAGTTCCAAAGTATGCTCTTTGAACATCAAACGAAGGGCTTCAGAAACTGCTCGCTGGGTGAAGAAACGATTATTATGAACATCGTGAACCCACCGGAACAGCTTGCGATTCTTCTGGGACCTGAAGTGGAACACTTTCGTCACCCGTCCTGTTTTTTTCAAGTGTTCCTCGTCAAGCTGGCTGTAAAGATGCTCACAGATAACCTTTGCCTTCACCGCAAAAGCGGCCGGGGATGCAGAGGCCATCCTATAGGGTGGATAGAATGTTATTGGCGAAACCTAACCATCAAAAGGTTTGCACTGTCCAATATGCCAGGGATCAGCAGTGGCCCTCCAGAGCATCCCCGGCACTTATGGAAAACTCGAACCCAAAATGGCCAGCACCGGCACCAAAGCTTCCAATGATTATGCAAGCCGAGAAAGCATGAACAATCCTGAACTCCTGGTTGCCACACAGCAGTCATCGTCCATCAAATGCCCCAATGCCGCCTGAAGGTCAATGCCTAATCTCAATTTAACCTCAGCCTTTCGTTTGCCTGACCCCTAGATATTTCTATCCGAAATTGTCCAAAATTACAATTTATCTCAGCCCTTTTGTTCGCTTGACCCTGAAATATTTCAGGACGAGGTCTTTGGTATGGCCGGGTCAATTGTCCTGGGAATATCGGTCCGATGTGTGTGTATATATATCTCTCTCTCTCTCTCTCTCTCTCTCTCTCTCTCTCTCTCTCTCTCTCTCTCTCTCTCTCTCTCTCTCTCTCTCTCTCTCTCTCTCTCTCTCTCTCTCTCTCTCTCTCTCTCTCTCTCTCTCTCTCTCTCTCTGTCAATATATATATATATATATATATAGAATATTAAATATAGAATATTTATCTGTTATATATCTGTGTATCTATATACATATATATATATATATATATATATAGATAGATATTTAAAGTAGGCAGTAAGTAAACTCGTCTTCTTCTTTTTTCAGTGGCCTCATAACCAGACCACTTCACATGCATGAATAACTGTTGGGTCGAACATAACATGGCTGATCTCTGGCGTTTTCCGGTTTAATCTGTACAAGAACTTCCTATATGCTATGATCCACACAGTCGTGTTTTTTGGAAGCATGATCTATAGCGACGACCCTCGTTATCCCGACGTTGCTCTGTATGCTGACGTTTGGAACGTCCTGGCAGGGGGGAGGGGGTCGGTGGGGCTGCTAGGGCTGTCTGCTACTGCAGTGCCTTTTCAGCGAAAGCTATCGACTGGCACTCCCACACACACTCTCACGCTAGAAGCTTTTCCCCAATGTGCTAGCAGGAACATATTTTCTTTCTAGGCAGTTTTTCCTAAGGTGGCGTAGGGCCCTTCCGTGCCTGCTACCATGGCAGAGGCTCTGGCAAACAAGCTAGCGCTCGGGAGCAGCGAGCTTCGGTTCCTGCTAGTGCAACACAAAGTCTTGGATGCTATCCAATCTGAGCTCTTTTCCAACGGTATTGATACCGTCGCTAAGTTCGCCGCCTCGGCGACGGATGAAGCTGACCTCAAGAAGATAGGACAGTTTCGCGATCGAGCCTACCACCTCGCTCGCTAGCCGGGCTCAGGCCGCGGGGGTCACCATCGCATGGAGGACCGCTAACTCCCGCACCGAGCGGCAAGCTGAGGCGGAAGCTACCAGTGAGGTCAGGGAGTGGGCAAAGCCCATCCCAGCTACCGACTACATGGCCATGCGCCAGGCCTTCACCGCTAAGTTTGGGGACCTGGAAGACAAGCAGACCCCCGCTAAGGAGTACATCGAGAAGAAGCTAGCCGAGCTCGAATCCGGCGAATTCCGGGCAGAGCCGCTAACCGAAGTGATCAGCCGGGACGAGCGGGACCCTGACACGCTACTGCCCGTCTGGAATGGCAACGGCACGCTATCCATGAAGAAGGGTGGTGCCAGGGCTGCCGCGCCCTCTGGGCCGGAGCAGCTACGGCTGCGGCTCACGGTCCTCCAGAATACGCTAATCATGATCCAGCTAAGGCACCCCAACCGAGAGGAGCTACAGGATGTCACCATGGCCCTCTTCGAGCGCTACAAGGACTATCTCCTCGGAGACTATTGCTATGGTCTCCGTTCCAGTGCCGACTCGGGGTCGCTAGTGCCTCCGTGGCCCTTGGTGCTCAGCTACGAGCACGCTATCCGGAAGCACGCCTACAAGGTCATGGCCACGGCCGGCTATTCCTTTGGCGCCGCGCTAGTCCAAGCCTAAAAGGACGCTAGTGTGAAGGAGCGGCGCTTCACTACGCCGCTAGCCCTCCACGCTAAGCGGACGCAGCCCTGGAACTGGACTGAGGAGCGACCCGCTAAGACCCCCAAGGGGAAGGGCAAAGGCAAAGACGCCCCCGCCAAGGGCGGCAAGGCTAAGAAGCGCTTGGGTGCCGATCGCACCCCGCAAGGGAAGCCCATCTGCTTCCGCTACAACGCTAAGGGCTGCAAGAATGGCAGCAAGTGCCATTTCGAGCATGTCTGCTCGCTATGCTTCGGCAAGCACCCCGCTACGCAGTGCCCCGCCAAGAAGCAGACGGAGGCCGCTAAGGAGGACAAATCCTCCAACTGACCCGCTACCGCAACGGAGCCCTCAGTGCCTGTGACCCCCCCGCGGGGGGATGCTACGCCAGCTCCGGCGCCCGCTACGCCTGCAAAGCCGCTACGGGTGCTCTACCTTTTCTCTGGTACCTCGCGCCGGCTAGACGTGGCACAGTGTTTGCACCAGCTAGCGGCAGAACTCGGGCTAGATGTTCGGGTCGAGTGCGTCGACCTTCTTCGGCACGCTAAGTACGACCTCAGTCAGCCCAAGATACGCCAAGGCTACCTGGACCGGATAGCTAACAAGGAGTTCGATGCAGTGGTGCTTTCTCCGCCATGCGCTAGCTTCTCCATGGCGCCATGGGCTAATTTCCAAGGGCCCCGCCCCGTTCGGAGCTATGAATTCCCCCGTGGTCTGGAGACGCTAACGCCGGCAGAACGAGATCGCGCTATCCTAGGCAACATCTTCGCCGACTTCAGCTTCGAGGTTGCTAGCCTCGTTGCCGAGGGCGCAGCTACCTTTCTGGCGATGGAACAACCGGAGGATCTGGGCGCCCTCGCTAAGGGCCCACACCAAGGAGCACGGCCGGCCTCCATGTGGCAATGCCCGCCGCTAGCCGACCTTCTGCAAAAGGGGCTACGGACGGTGGCTTTCCACCAGGCTAGCTTTGGTACGCCTTACGCTAAGCCAAACTGGCTGCTACTGAAGTGCTCTTCTGCTATGCCAGATTTTGTTCATGAAGGTCCGCCGTGCTACGACAAAAAGGGCCGCTACACAGGACCGCTGCCTTCTGCTGCTACACTGGGACACATGTTCAAGCGCACCGCTGAGGGCCCCTTCAAGACCTCAGGTTCCGAAAAGTGGCCCGCTAGAATGTGCCAATGGTTGGCTACCCTGCTTTTGGACTCCTCTGCTACCGCTGCCCAGGGGGAGGGGGGTGGCGCTAGGCCGGAGTGCCCGCTACTACCCGAGACCTTCCCGACCTGTGAGCCGGAGGGTCCGCAAGTGCTAGGATGTTCAGGACCACCAAAACAGCTAGGTGCGACGGAGGAGGTCTCTGCTCTCCAGGACGTTGGCCCCACGCTACCCGCGGCTACACCGAGGGCCCCAACTGGGACTGGCCCAATAGACCGGCGAAGTCAGAAAAGTACCAAAGCTCTATTTCATAGAAAAAGAGCTTTTTTTACAAACAAGTCAAAACGCGAATTGACTATGTTAATTAACTTCGAAGTCAATAGTTAATTTGTTTTGCGTTTACTTTGAAGTTAAAACGCCGCCCCCGCAAAGTCAAAACAGAGTTTACTTCGAAGTTAAAATTTTGACTTCGAAGTAAACTCGGGAAGGGGAAACTGCTACTGAAACTGCTTCCAAACTGCTTCTGTGGCCGGCCGAAACTGCTACAGAGATTTTGCTCTTTGAAAGTCCATTGTTGTGTGTGTTTGTGTGCATAAGTATATATAAGTTGTTGTGTGTAAATGTTTCTCCGTGTGCTTCTGTCTGTGTGTTGTGTGTCGTGTGCTTTGTGTTTTGTGTTATATGTGCTATGTGTTGTAGCTGACAAATGTACACATGCTAAGCTACATGTGCCTTATGCCAAGATTGTGTCTGTGTCGTGTGTGTGTGTGTGGTTGTGGTGTGTTGTGTGTCGATGTCGTTGTGGGTGGGCGGTGAGTGAGTGTGAGTGTGTGTGTGTTGGTTCGGGCTTCAGGGTTTGCGGTTTAGGGTGTAACTTGGCAGCTTAGCTTGAGACGGGTGTGTGTTGGTTCGGGCTTCAGGGTTTGCGGTTTAGGGTGTAACTTGGCAGCTTAGCTTGAGACGGGTGTGTGTTGGTTCGGGCTTCAGGGTTTGCGGTTTAGGGTGTAACTTGGCAGCTTAGCTTGAGACGGGTGTGTGTTGGTTCGGGCTTCAGGATTTGCGGTTTAGGGTGTAACTTGGCAGCTTAGCTTGAGACGGGTGTGTGTTGGTTCGGGCTTCAGGGTTTGCGGTTTCGGGTGTAACTTGGCAGCTTAGCTTGAGACGGGACTCGGGGTGGAGAAGTTCCCTAAACCCCTAAACCCTAAACCCCTAAACCCCTAAACCCCTAAATCCCTAAACCTAAACCCTCGAACATTCGGTCCTTCCCACATTTTCGCACAGCTCCCCAACAGTGTAGCACACTTCTCCAAGCCGAGGAATGCTCAGGCCCTCTTGGCCTCGATCTTGTGAAATTGCACATGTAAAGCCATTCTGTATCTTGTTGCAACCTTGATAAGAGCAGAACCGGGGCCATTCCCCTTGACCGATGCCTGTGTGAGCTCCTGTACTCGTCTCTGCTGGTCCTCTCCACTGAAGCACCATAAAAGTCGTGGCGAAACATGCCGAGCCAGAATGCCGCAGTGCTGAGCAAAATGCGACTTCTCGGTGACGTTGAAGAGCTTTTGAGGCTCATCTTGAAAGTGCCCTTGCAGCTGGTGCTGCAGCATGAGAACTCCATCGATAGAGGTCTCGAATACCGAAGCATCTCTCGAGGGCAGTGCAAAAAGCTCACGGTGATCAGTCAAAAGCTGCTCTGCATTGGCATTCAGTTTAAGGAGGAGGTGGATCTTACGATGTATCTCCAATGCTGGGTTCATCTTGGCCGCCCAGATGTTGAAAATCGGACGACTGAGATGTCGTATTTCAGCCCCCTTGCCTCGTAATTTGGGAGATCCTTTTTTTCTAAGGATCATGCTTAACCTGTTCAGGTATCTGAAGCGACATGGAACAGCCAAATCTGAGTACTGTTGCTGCAAAAGCTTCCAAAAGGACTGCATGTTTTCCTCTGGGGTCCCAGGAAGGATGTAAAAAACGAGCATGAAGATGATGCTGGCATACAAAAACTGGTCTAGGCCGAGGTATTTTATGTGAAGCCAGTCAAACGCCACGGTCCAACAGCTCGTTCCAGGAAGTTGCAGCAAAGGGCAGGATGATTTGCCAGACCACAATCGCCATTCGGAGGCTTTCCAAGACGTGGCTCGCCAAGCCGCAGAAGTTCGGAAGTCTTGCCAGCTGCAAGGGCCGACCTTCGTGCTCCGGCACAGAGCACATGGCCCCGAAGCCAATGTACTTCTTGGGAGGTCAAGGACCGATGCATAATAATCAAGATCGCCTTGCAAAGAGAAAAGGAAAGCGAAATGTCCTCCCATCAAAGGTTGTCCAGCTTTGCGAGCTTCCTGACTCCCTGCCGGGTACCTGATCTGTCTGGGTATATATGTCGGGGTTTATATATGTCTAGGCTTTTGAACAAATAGGGGAGGTCAACCCTAAACACTAAACCCTAAACCCCTAAACCCTAAACCGTGCTAGGCTCTCGAGCAAAGAAACACAAGATTGACAATGCCATCCAAGATACTGCTTGCCCGAAAAATCAGCTGATGGCCAAACACCTTCCCAGAGGATTTGAAATGACCAAGCCAGCACTGCCAAGAACTTGTGAGCGGTGCCATTCATGTCATTCGACATGACTCTCAGCTTTTCCCAAAATCCACCCATGTAAAACAGTAGCTCTTTCACAGAGCCAAGACCCAAAAGGCTCATGAAACTCAGGTCGGTCAACTGCTGGCACCAAGCTTTCCCCAACGCAGTGATTGGAACAGCATCGCCGTGAACACCCAGGGGTATGCAAAGCCGCTGATAATTCGGCCGAGCGAGGAGTGGGCTTGACTCCAGTGCAGGATGGCCCTTCACTGAGCGCCAAAACTGCTCGGCTCGGCTATCCGACGGCTTCACAACCTTAACCCAAACAGCTGGGAAAGTGTCATAAATGGATGCCAACAGCTCGTGTGGCATGAGCACCGGAAGTGTATCCAGACCCGCCTTGGTCGGTACCTTATGAAGAACCGCAGGTGGCACCTTGATGCTCGGGGCCAGCTGCCTTGTCAAGTCGGCCCAACACTTGTTCGGATACAGGCCACTGGCCCCCAATTTGGCCAAAGTTTCCAGCTCTCCAGGCATGTCGCCGGTCTCTCTGGCCCTCGCTGCATCCCTGCATGACAAAGCCGCTATTTTTTGCACTTGTTGCGGCGACATTGATCCCCACAGGCATTCTTCCACCAAGTAGGCAGCAAGATCAGAGGTTTGGGTTTTTTCCTCTCTACTTCTTTGCAGTCGTTGCCTCAGCCCACCTTTTCGCTTCTTCGCCGGAGGTTCAGCCATGAGAAATGAACAATCTAGGATCGTTGGAGATGAATATGCTCAGGGTCTGTCGCAAGAGAGTGTATTTTTAGATAAAAAAACCTATGTACCATGAGAGTCTACCATGAGAGTCTACCATGAGAGACTGTATACCATGAGAGTTTACCAATAGAGAGTGTACCATGAGAGTCTACCTTGAGAGACTTTACCATGAGGGTATACCATGAAACACTGTGTGACATAAGAGTATACCATGAAGGACTTTCATGTAAAAGGTCATATAACATGAGAGTCCAGCATGACATGGTACTCAGCCCGAAACCCTAAACCCCTAAGCCCTAAACCTCTAAACCCTAACTCCCAAACCCCTCGTTCTGGCTAATATGTCTACACACTGCCAGGGCCTTCGGAATGTTATCCAAGGAGACACCTAAGACCTATCGAGGAGTGCGATCACAATCTGGGCTTGCTTATCTGGAATGTGTAGCGATGTTGTTTTCATCTAGTGTCTGAGTCCCCTTGAGGGAGCAGACTTGAGCATTCATGTTCAAGTGATTCGATGCATCTTGTAATTTGGGGAATGCTTATACAGGTCGCTGTTGTAGAGGTTGTTCAAGCCTTTTAGGCGCTCAGGTTCAGGGTTTAGGGCGGAGGTGTATGGTTTGAATTTCGGGGATTGGGGTATCCGGGCTTCCAGGGTTTAAGATTGAGGCTGCATGGCCGAAACAAGGGCGGTGGTCTATTGTCTATATGGGATTGGGTTTGGGGATAGAGTGTTGGGTTGAGGCTTCATGGTTTAGAATCGTGTGGGATTGCTGTTGGAACGTCCAGGCTTTGGGGTCCATGGGTTCGTGGTCTTATGTGGGTGTATACATGGGTTTGATAGTTTGGTTAGGGTGAGGCTGTTCGTGGTTTGATGCGGGTGGGGAGGGGTTAGGGATGGAAATTGCAACATCCAGGGTGTGCAGTTCAAACTTTGTGAGATTTATGGGTTTTGGGCTCAAGGGTTTGGGGTCTATATAGGTTTTTTTAGGTTTGGTCCTTAGGGCTTATAGGTATGTATATCTATTCATAGGGTTATTCAAGACATAGTGCTCAAGGCCTAGGTTTTAGGTTTCGAAGCTTAGGCTTCATAGACCTTCGGGCATAATTTCTATGGACCAGGTCACCAGACAATGGGTTTGAGGCTTAGGGTGCTTTTTGGAGCTCGGGTTTGTGTGCAAGTTTCGGTCGGTGGGTGAGGTTTGTATCCGGGATTTGGGATTCGAGCTTTTGTATAGTTCCTACACACAGGGCTGGGGCAACTTAGGAAAGGGACAAAAGGTTCAGGCACGGGTGCACTTCCAGAAAGATGTTTCAAAGCTTGCAGGCAGGGAAGAATTGGAAGCAGGGTTCAGGACATGGTTAGTAGCTGGGTGTGGTTGAAAGGGTTGGAGCTATACGGGTGGAGAGTTTGTGTCGGGACGTAGGGTTTGCAGGGTATCTTGTTCGGGATAGCAAAGTGTAAGGCTTAGGGTTTAAGGTTGTGTGTGGGCGGGTGGAGATTATTCCATGAAAGTATAATTAACTTTCATGGCATTATATAAGTTCGAAAAATAGCTCTCCACTCAAACTCTCATGGTGTCGTTCTCTCAGAGAAGCTCTCTTGGAAGACCAAATTAGGGTTCTGGGTGGCTTGGGCTTGTATATGACATACTTACAGTTACATAAGACTCTATTTCTCAAACAAAAGCGCCATGGCGACGACATTTTTCATGTCTAGAGTCTAATGCTTCGGTTCGAGCGAGATTTCCTCGATGGGTGCACAGCATAGCTGCAAGCGGAGGCCAGAGCAAAGATCGAAAAACCTAGTCTATCGACACAGCTACGAAGATCCAAAAAATTAGTCTATCAACACAGCTATGGTCTATGCTGCTTCTATAACTCTTCACTCCTCCTGCTCCTGCCCAAAACAGCTTACAGCTACACGTAGCACCGGTGGTGTTGCATACACAGCTGTACAGGGGCCAGACAAAAGATCGAAAAAACTAGTCTATCAAAACAGAACAGCTATGAAGATCAAAAAAAATAGTCTCTCAAGACACCTATGCTTTGTGCTACTTTATCTGCAACTGTTCTTCTTGCCCCACCAAAAAGCTGCTCGCAGCAACATCTAGCACAGGTCTTGTTGCAAAAAGCACATCGGCAGCACACACAGCATCTACAGCCGGTCAGCTCAAGCCGATCATGCGATGCTCATGAGAGCATGATCATCAGATCCTCTTGATGACATCTTAGACGTCTCAATTGATTTTGGCTTTCAAGGCCCCTTGGCTGCTCTCAACCAGAACATTGAACTGCTCCGTATGATCGGCCACCTTCAGGAGGAACTTGTCGAAATTCGGCTTGGTCAAGGCCTCGTCATCCGGGAGCTCGCGAAACTGCTTGATGTGGTCCAGCTTCACGATGAACTCCTGGCTGCCCTTGTGGTACTTGCGAAGGTTCTTCGTCGTATCATCATCCGCCCCCCACTTCTTCAAGATAATCATGGCATCCTTGGAGAGCTTCTGCTGGGCTTCCAAGGCCGTACGAAGCACTGCCTCGATGTTGGTGGGCACGGAGCCCCCCTTCGCGAACTTCTTGGTCTCATCGGTGGAGTGCTTCATCTTCCAGCCGATGCGAGAAAAGCACTCGGACAAGATCTTGGCCTGATCCTTGCTCACCTTGGCAGTCGAAGAGAGCTCCTCCTCCTCCATGCACCCTGTCTTCTGGACTGCCTTGAAGGTCTGAAAGCTAAAGAACTTGACTCCTGGGACCGAGCTCTTCGCCTCGCAAATCTCGCCCTTTGCCAGGGCGGCCTCGAACTTGTCGTCGTTGTTGGCATAGAACATACCCTTGAATATGCTCTCGGGGTAGGAGATCTCGGAGCTCTTGGAGAAATTCTCGTTGTAAAGCTTCTTGTGCTCTTTAAAGCAAGCATCTTGCAAGTTCAAGTGGATCTTGCCTGACTTGTCCTTGGAAACGACATAACAACACAGAGCAAACCACGAAGAAGCAACATTGGCAAACTGGGGTACAAAGATCCCAGTCGCCCTGACATTCGGCTGGTTTCGTAGCAAAGAATGCTATCGAGATGGTGTTACAGAACTAGAGAGTTTCCTTACATAGTGATGATCGTTCTCTGGTAGTTTTTCTTTTCGTGGTACCGCCAAACACATCACGACGACATTTACTACTACAATACTCCTCCTCCTCCTCCTCCTCCTCCTCCTCCTCCTACTACTACTACTACTACTACTACTACTACGACTACTACTTCTGCTACACTACTATTCTAGACTTCTTCTTTACTACTACTACTACTACCACCACCACCACCACCACCACCACGGAGCAAATGGAGTAGTATACTGTATAATAGTAAATGTAGACCCATGCCCCTGGGATGCAAAGACCGTGCTCATAACATAATCTCGCAGCCAAGATTCTCTCTTGAACAGCTTGTTGATGATTTTCGACTTGAACTCCCGTGGGTGGGCTGCCTTGGCCGACTGGGTCTCCACCAAGTCCACCACGTAGGCAGGCAGGTCTTTCTTCATCTTCTGAAACTTGAGAGCAAAGCCCTTGTCTCTTGAGGTGCTTTCGTCACCCTCATCCTCCTCCTCCTCCCCCTCCATGTCGTGGTCGGCCTTCCCATCCTCGATGCACAAGGTAGCCGAGCTCTTCGTTCGCTTGATGGAATCATTCATGCTCCCTTTCTTCGTGATGGCCTCATCCTCCTCCTCCTTGACCTTCTTGGTCTTCGTGGACTTAGCCGCCGCCGGCTTTTTCATGACTTTCATGGCCATCTTAGAAAGCACCATGCTTTCAAAAGGCACAACACACGGAACGACTAGCAAAGCTACTGCACCGATGCAGCTGGGCGAAAGCACTGCACAGCAAGCCAATGGAAGTTTAGTGGAAGTTTCCACCAAACTGCTACTAGCACTTTGGTGGTAGTTTGCTAGCAGTTCGAAAGCAGTTTGGGAAGCAGTTTAATAGCAGTTTCGGGGCTTTAGGCAGTATTCCCTGGTACATATATAAAAAGCATGCATAGAAACTGCTACTGGTAATCTTGGAAACTGCTAATGGACTGCTAATTGCCAGTGGAAGTTTAGTGGAAACTTCTACCAAACTGCTACACTAGCCAGTGGAAGTTTAGTGGAAACTTCTACCAAACTGCTACACCTGCTTGTGGAAGTTTACTCGAAATTTCTACTAAATTGCTACTGGCACCTAGAAACTTTACTTAAATTCCATAGCTTTTTGCTTCTGCTACATTATTGGAAACTTACCCTGGCCTGTATATTGGGTAGTGGGAACACACATCCGGGTCTGAGTCTGGGTTTGGGGTTTCGGGCCTTTGAAGCTTTAGGCTTTGAGGGTTGTGGGTTTCAGGAGTTATAGGGCTACAGGGTTTTGTTCTTTGAGGGGTCGTTGCTTTTGGGTTCGAGGCCTGTATATTGGGTAGTGGAAACACACATCCGGGTCTGAGTCTGGGTTTGGGGTTCGGGCTTTTGAAGCTTTAGGCTTTGAGGGTTGTGGGTTTCAGGAGTTATAGGGCTACAGGGTTTTGTTCTTTGAGGGGTCGTTGCTTTTGGGTTGGAGGCTTTGGGCTTGTGGGGGGCTGAAGGGTTTAGGGGAGGAGATAAGGCACCAGGGTTTTAAAATTTTAGGGTCGTGGCTTTGGGGTTTGAGGCTTGAGGCTTGGAGGGCTGAAGGGTTTAGGGGTTGTGGCTCTTGGGTTTGAGGAAATAAGGCAACAGGGTTTTAAAGTACTAGGGGTCGTGGTTTTGGGGTTTCAAGCTTTAGGCTTGGAGGGCTGAAGGGTTTAGGGGTTGTGGCTCTTGGGTTTGAGGAAATAAGGCAACAGGGTTTTAAAGTACTAGGGGTCGTGGCTTTGGGGTTTCAAGCTTTAGGCTTGGAGGGCTGAAGGGTTTAGAGGTTGTGGCTTTTGGGTTTGGGGAGATAAGGCTACAGGGTTTTAAAGTTTTAGGGGTCGTGGCTTTGGGGTTTGAAGCTTTAGGCTTGGAGGGCTGAAGATTTCGGTGGTTGTGGCTTTTGGGTTTGAAGCTGTAGGGCTGTATGGTTTCAAAGTTTTAGAGGTCGTGGCTTTTGGCTTTGATGTGGCTTGTGGGTTTGAAGCTTTCGGGTTGCATGGCTTTTGGGTCTGAGGGCTTTGGGTGCTAAAGTCTAGGTTTGGGCGGCTTTAAGAGGTTTAGGGGCTCTGAGGAAATCGTGTTGGCTTGCTGGGCAGCACTCTACACACCCTCCGGTAACCCTCAATGTTTCATCTCAGCCCTCTGGGTCGCTCTCTGAGCTCCGGCCCCCGTGTGAAACATCGTCGCCGCCAGCCTGTGGGGTCTTAGCTTTCTAGGTGAAGTATTATGCGGGCTTCATATATGTTACCATGTGAGAGGGCGGACTATGGTTACCACCGAAAGTGAACCAGCACAGCTTTAAAGCAATCTTAGGCCACATAATGCTTTAGTTGCAGCACAACACCAAAGTTGCAAACCCCAAAGATCCCATAACATCTTATAACACCTGATACCTGAACCGGCAGGAAACCCTAAACCCCCAAACCCGAAACATTCTGAATCCCTAAGTCCGGGTTCAAGGTTTAGGGATGAGGGTTTGGGATTTAGGGTTTAAGGTTTCCGGTTTATGGTGATCAGATAGCATTATATTGTGCTTATTTTGCAAACCTGGCTTCCGAGATCACATCTGGCTCCACTTCGCCAGGCTCCGTCGGGGTGTGCTCGTCCAGCCTCGGTCGCTTCCGATATCGCTTCACGACAATTGGACCCACAGACGATGGCGAGCCAACTGTAGCAGAGCCATCTGTACCAGAGCCATCTGTACCAGAGCCACGTGTACCAGAGCCATCCGTACCAGAGCCATCTGTACCAGAGCCATCCCCATCTGTACCAGACTCAGAAGGCGCCGAAGCCTCAGCCTGACCCAGCAGGCTCCCTTGAAGCTGGGCCCTCAGAGCTTCGTCTCGTGCATCTGTACCAGAGCCAGCATCTGTACCAGAGACATCGGTAGCCTGTGTACCAGCAGGAGAAGTGGGCTCCAAGGTCGGCGAAAGCGGTTGGGCCACCAAGCGAGGATCCACTTCAGCTGCTGGTGCCGGTGCTGGTTCTGGTGCCGGTGCTGGTTCTGGTGCTGGTGCCGGTGCGGGTGCTTGTGCTGGCGCTTTTGCGGGTGCTGCACCGCCAACACCAGCACCAGCACCTTTGCCCCTCCTCGGCTCAGCAGGCTCTGCAAAAAGAGGGACCTCGGCCACTCGGAAGTCGTACTTTCCGTGCAACTGCTGGCATAACCAGGTCACATTCTCCCTGCAGGCCACTTCCAAAAAAGCACTGCACATTGTTTGCTTGCCAAAGTTGCCCTTCCGGACGATAGTAATATTCAGACATTGAACACCCAAGTCCCAGCATACTTTGGCGATTTCTGTCCTTGTAACCTGAAATCTGAGGTTTCTCAGGAACACACGATGCTGGCCATCCATCTCGGTGAAACTGGTTGTAGAAGGATTCTAGGATTACAGGGTGCTCGGTTCCGCACGGTTGCTACAAAGCTAAAGCCCTAGGTTGTAGACTGTAGGTTTGCAGGGTGCTATACGGTCAAGGGTTGTAGACTTTAAGCTTGGCTTTGTAGGGTGCTAAAGTCTGAGGTTGTAGAATCTAAGCTTGGGTTTGCAGGGTGATGAAACTTCTCAGCGAGTGTGCATGGAGGCGGGTGTGTAATGCTTGATTTTTGTTATGTGAACACTGAGAACACAAAAGACTTTAGGGTTCAGGGTATATAGGACCATGAGGAGTAATGGTGGCTAGTAGTTATTATTCTCAAAGACAGGAGGTCCTACCAGTACTGGATTGACTATAAAGAGTATGGTGGCTGATGCCTGAAGCAGAGTATTTGCCAATGCCACATGTTTTGATTGTCGCAACTGGACTTGAACCTCTCGAGGCTGCATATGTTCCCCCTTTGAATGCTGGCACGGTTTAGGCTTCAGGGTCTGTACTATACGGGTTCGGCGGATCTGGAGCATAAGATGCTTTTGTCTAAGCATGACTATGTTCATACACAGATGTAGTTCGCGGGTTGTCTACCTCTTGTGGGGATGAAGTAAAGCTTCGGGCTGCAAACCCCCATAACTCAAGACCTTTTGAGACCTTCACACTATGTTCAGCAAACAAGCACATGATCCAAAGACCAAGGTCCCCCGAAAAGCCTGGAACCCTGAAGCCCGGAACTGATCCCCTTTGTTTCCTTAATCCTCGAGAGTTTGGCTTTGCGAACAAAGGGTGAAGGCTTGTTGGGTTTGGGCTTGTTTTGGGTCGCTTGGTTTAGGGATGATGAGGTGCTTCAGGTGTCTGCAGATCTCTCTTTTCACTCCAAGTAGCACTCAAGGTACACTCAAGGTAGCACTCGAAGTAACTCTCAAAGTATCTCTCAGGGTAACTCTCAAGGTAACACTCAGGGTAACTCTCAAGGTAACACTCAAGGTAACACTCAAGGTAACACTCAGGGTAGCTCTCAAGGTATAACACTCAAGGTAACACTCAAGGTAGCACTCAGGGTAGCTCTCAAAGTAACTTTCAGGGCAACTCTCAAAATCCCTTCGAGGTAACACCCAATATAATTCTTGAACCACTCAAATCCCCTGTACACTGGAACTCCTGTGGATTCCAAACTCACCCTACACCCCAAACCCTTGTCCTGGCCCTGAACCCGCACTCCTAAAGACCTCGAGCCTACCCCTGAAAACCCCCACCCCTAAATTTCATACGATATAATATATGTGTATGTATATTTATTTAAAAATATGTGTATATATATATATATAACAACCAGATACCCTGACAACACCTGCGATCTTGACCACGGCCAAACTTCAGAACAGACCCCATAATCTTAAGGAGCTGGACCCAAATCCCAAAACCTTGTCAGCCTGGACACTAAACCTTGAACCTCAAATCAAAAACCCTGAAAACCTCAAGTCCTAAATCCTGAACCTCAAGTCCTAAACCCTGAAACACAAGTCCATATCCCAAGCCCGGAGAAGAGTTAGGATTGAGGGTGCCAGGTTTGGGGGTTAAGGTGCTTCTACATATTATCTAGTGTTTAGGGTCTAGGATTTGGGATTTGTATATAATGCACACATGGTGTTTAAAGAGGGTTTGAGCCTCTAGGCTCTAGGGTTGAAGTTCAGGTTTTGGGGTTGTTCTGGCGCTTTTTAGACTTATATACTTAAACCCATGCAAGTTCGCACAAGCAGACAAACCCGAACACCTACACGGAGACACACACACAAGCACACCCCACACCCCACACACACACCCCACAACACACACACACACACACACACCTAGCTACACATACCTGTGTATGTACATCTACAGTAGAAGCTGGACACAGCCTTGGTTTTTTCACGTCTGGACCCCTCGGTGAACATATGCTCCATGCTCGGACACTCACAATTGCACATGCTATAGGCATGACAGGAGTGCACAGACACTTACCCGGATTCGTGTGCCTCTGTGATTCACAGAGACAGAAACAAAAGCTTCAGACAAGCAGCCAAAACTGCACTCACGAGCAAAGTGTGCATACTGCTATACTTGAT